TTCTTCTTCTTCTTCCTCTTGCTTCTTCGCGGCTTCTTCCCCCTCTCTTCTACTGCTATTTTCTTCCTACAATTCAAATTCTGCAATTGTCCTGCATCACCCTGTAAACGGGATAATGTTATTTCCTCACGTGTAAGAGCCAATGTTGGAAAAAATGGGCAGGCATGCCCTGTTCAATCGAGAAAACAGTAAAGACCTGTTACCTGGCGGAGGTTGTCAATGAATTTGGCAGCATTAGCAAGTTCCATTGCTGTTCTATTATCTTCATTAGAAGCATCTTCTTTGCCATACAATATGTTTTCCTTCAAAGTTGTTGCAAATAAGATTGGTTCCTGACTTAAAAGTCCCATTTTTCTTCCGATCCATTTTAGTTTCAACATCTTCAAATTAACTCCATCTATAAGTACTTATCCAGCATCGGGATCATAAAATCTCTCCAACAAGCTGATAACTGTGGACTTCCCACTTCCACTTTGCCCAATGAGAACTGCAGTTTGGCCACTAACAATGTGTAATGAAAAGCCTGAAAATATCTGCACTTCTGGCCTTGCTGGATATGTGAAATACACATCCTTAAGTTCAATTTTACCTCTTATATTTTCCAAAACAATTCCTCTATAATCATATGCATCAATTTTCGGTTTCCGTTCAATAGCCTCGAAGATCTTGTATGCTGCAGCTTGACCTGCTGTAAATGCATTTATACATGGAGATATCTGTCCAAGTGATCTGATTCAAGAATATATGGAGTGACTTACTTTCAAATTAATAATAAATGCAATTTTGGTATGCAATGCTAAACAAAACTAGAGAGTATATAATAAACAAGATTTGATATTTTACTTACATTCCACCAGTCATTATGGCCATCATGATATTGATAACCTCTCTACCACTGTATCTTTTTTCTATGATCAGTTTTGATCCGTACCATATGACAAGTCCATAAGTACTAAAGACAATTAGTAAAACTGTGCCAAGTTCTATGCCTGAGGCCAACCCTTGCTGAACAGTGGATGCATAGGCTATTTGCAATTTCCTATCATACTTTTCTGTTGCTTTATTCTCTCCGGTGTAGGATGCAACCTACAATTGTTAAGAAGAAGCGTAAAAAGTTCAGGAATTCAGTTGCAATTTGAGTGCAAAATGCAAACTAATACTGTGGTGATTGCAGCATTTTAATTACCGTTCCGATTGCTCCTACTCTTTGTTCAACCAATTTCCAGCATCTGTACAAGCAACTTGTCATCGACTCCACATCTTCGCCATAAGCAATGACATGGATCCTCCGGCTATGGCAAGTGCAGGAATGCAAGAACACAATACTAGTATAGAAGCCATCCTTTACAGAAAGCAATTATAAACCCTCCAATGAATGTTGACATAAATTGAATGAATTTCCCACCCTGAGAGTATCATTTCTTAACAAGGTTCAAGTAGTTTGGTAGATAGTATTCGACAAGATCTTAGTTTTTTTTCTTCCTTAACATTAATTATAACAAAATAAGTGAATTGCACTCGAAGTTTAAGAACTCAATTTTTCGCCTATGGCTTCTTGAATGAGAATCGTGTCCCCAGACATCCTCCCAATGACCTCTCCCGTTGTTGTTCGAGTGTCGAAGAACTCGATATCTAATCTTAATAGCGTTCTTAAGTACAACCCTCTAATTCGATCTGCTCGTCTTTCTCTGCTTACCATCCAGCATGACATCTCTGCAATGCGCAAACAAGCAGTTTACATTGAAGTCAACTGTGAAAAATCTTGAAGAATGTAGTTACGAAAATTCACAAAATTTTATATGCTGTGGGGAGAAAATTTGAATGAGTACAAGTACGTACATAGAAATGAAGCTATGCCGGCTTCAATAGCCAAATGAACATATTTGAGAGAGAGACCTGAAAAAATTCCAAGACAATATAGAATACATACTTATGAACTCCTCAACGGTGAAAGCAATACTCTGCTTTGATCAAGGGTGTCAAAATTATTTTCCAGATTTTGAACCAGACTAGTCTTATTGTGCACGCTAAAGCAGTAAAACTAAGATGCCATGAATATGTATGACAATCATTTTCCTAAAATTTGCTTAATCTCCTTTTTGCTCAGAGCTTGTTTGCCTAGGATTAAAATCCAATTTTAATTGAAAATATGGCCGTTATTGGGTCCACTCGTCTAATAAAAATCAACAATAACGGCTAGTTTTTCAATTTATGTATTGCTTATTACCACCATAACTTTGTGTTCATCGCCAAACTTTACCCAGATATGGCAGAATTGAGGAAAAAATGGAATAATTTAAATTATGCATAAATTGAATTTCGTATAACCTAATTCCTACTTTTTTGGGTCAGAAGGCTTTTAGCTTTAGACAATTTGTTCGTTGAAATTCATTTCATATTAATTATTTCTTATTCATCTCCATAAACTTGTGCGTCATCTAGTCAAACACTCAGTGGAATTAATTCGTTCATCTATTCTGAAAAAGCCATAAAAATCCCAGTTTGGAAGGAGGCCGCTGATTTCACATTACTCATTACTTAATACCAGAATTTAATAGCACCACTTGCAAAGTAAAGTGGTAATTGTACTTAGAATGAGACTCATGATCTCATTGTATGAAAAATAAAAAGCAAAATACAAAATCACCTTTGAAACTTCCTGCACTACGTGAGATGGATCCGTCCCTGCGAAAGAATTGATTATCTGGCCGAAAATAAGTCATCAGTGGCTGCGTCTATTCATTGGCAATGGCAGAAATTATTCCGACGATTATAAGAGAAACATCAACCCTATCTGAATAAGCAAAAAGTTTATAGAATGGAACTTTCTCAGATCCTTTCTTCGTTGCCTGCCCTTCATCCGCCATTTTGTATAGAATTGAAGAATCAGAGGTTGAGTGAACTTTAAAGGCAAGATTAAGATTTGAAGGATGAGATTGCTTTCAAAGTATACTTGGAGGACTCAAACAGACTTTCCTAAACGTTGAAGCACAAAATTTTTAAAGCATAGTTGGATAACCCAAATGAAGTTTCCTATTAGTTCAAGGACTGAAGTCTATCCAAAATTAGTTGGATGACCAAATCGAAGTTTAATAAAAGATGATGGACTTTAATTTTCTAGTCAATAGTTTGATGGCGAAATTGATGTTTCTTAAAGGTTTAAAAGGAAATTGACACAGAATAATAGGTGGATGACTCAATTGAAGTTTACGGAAAGCTGAAGCACTGAATTAAAATTTTGTAAAATCTGAAGGATAAGTTGCTTTTAAACAATAATTGGATGACCCAATTGACGTTTTCTAGAAGCTGAAGGTTTCAATTATTTTAAAGTATACTGAAATTACTAAATTGATGTTTCATAGAAGATTAAGGACTAAATTGCCTTCAAAGTATACATAGATGATCGAACTGAAATTTTAGGGGTAGAGTTCAATTCGATTAACCAACTGAAACGTCAACTGTGTCATCCAACTATTTAATTAAACATATTAGTCCTTCAGTGTTCAAGAAACTTAAATTGGGTTATCCAACTAATGTATAAAAGCAATGTTGTCCTTCCACTTTTGGAAAACTTCAATTAGGTCATCCAACTACTGTTCAAAAGTAAATTTGTCCTTCAGCTTTCAGAAATCTTCCATTGGGTCATCAATCTATTATTCTACATCAAATTAGTCCTTCAAACTTTAGTAAAATTCGATTTGATCATCCAACTACTTTTGGAAAGCAATTTAGTCCTTTAAATATTTGGACACTTCATTTTGGTTATCCAACTATTTTTAAAGTTATATTAATCCTTCGGCTTTTAGGAAACTTCAATTGGGTCATCCAATTATTGTTCAGCAGCAACTAAGTCCTTCAACTTTTACGAAACATCAATTTTGTCATCTAATTATTGATTGGAAACAATTGAGTCCTTCAAGTTTAAGGAAATATCAATTTGGTCATCCAACTACTTTCAATTTCAATTTAGTCTTCAACTATATGGAAACTTCATTTTGGTCCTCTGACTATCAATTAAATTTAATTCAGTTCATTGTCTTTTAGAAAACTTCAATTGGGTCATCCAACTACTGTTCAGCAGCAACTAAGTCCTTCAACGTTTACGAAACAACAATTTTAACATC